ATAGTTTCCTTATGATCTGTTTTGTTCTGTTTAATTTTACCCTCTTTAAAATAAAAAATTAAATTTATTGAAGTCTTTCTGTAACCTTTCCCATTTATGATTGAACTTTTCTACAGCATTTGCTATTCTGATGCATCTGTGTCTACCTTTTCCTGCACGGCTTTGCCCCATCACTGGCCTTGATGGGGAAACACTGTGGTAACACCTGCTCCCTTAGTGTCTCTGGCTGTGCTTCCAAGCCCCTGAAACCCATTCTGCTATTTGAAGGTGCTGACAAAACATTTTCAGACAACAACTAGGATTCATTTTCCTTTCTGAAATTGTTCTTAAATGGTTTATTGATTGAAATATCTAGGAGTTGCTGTGTCTGCCATGTCCTAGGAACAAACTAGGCATGATCATACCCAACCATGGTAGACATCTCCTAAGTAGCTTGTAATGGTCATTACTTCCTGGTAATCTCTTGTATAAACCTTGCCTTGAGTGTGGGCTGCACCGAATGATTTGCTTCTAATGGATAGAATTTCGCAAAAGTAATCAGATAACATTTCTGAGATCTAAGATTAGGTTGTGCAAAACTATGACTTTCTATCTGACATATTATCTCTCCCCCTCAATCTCTCTCATTTTCTTACTCTAGTAAAACCAGGAGTGACATCATGACAACCTACAGATTTCACCAGACAAGCAATCTAGGGACATCTCTGGTTAACAACTCATAAGGAATCAAGACCTTCATCCAACAGGTCAAGCAGCCAGCAATCACTTGAGTGAGCATGGAAGAGAACCCAGGCTCTGTTGAGCCTTAAAAGAATCACAGTTTCCCAAAAATGCCTCAAATGGAGCCTGTGGGAGTTCTGGAGCCAGATGATTCAGCTGAGTCATGCATGAATTCCTCTTCTACAAAAACTTTTATGTAATAAATACTGTATTCAGTCACTAGGTTGTGGAGTAATTTGTTACACAGCAATAAATAACTAATGCAGGCATTAGCAACTACATCATGAATGTCACTCAGCTCTTAGCAGGTATAAATTGTCATTGATTGAAAGGTGCATCTCAATTTTACAGATGATAAATATGACTAAGTAATCTACATTTTAGAATAAATGGAGAAGTAGTTTTCCCATTAACATCAGAACTCCTTGACTGAAAGAACCATGTCTTTAGCTCTGGCATCTATAGCACTCAACATATAAGAATATTTTATAGATGTTTGCTGAACTGAATTATCCAGATAATTTTGCCAATGAACAAAAAGACCTGCATGGAGGGAAATTTGGGAAAAAGAGCTTACTCATTTCCGGCTTTTGAAGTAGCATGACTCACACTCAAAATGCTCATTTGAAAGGTTCCAGCTCTTTTTAATTTAACCATGTCACTCATTTATTTCATTTGTCTTTCTGATATGGAGGCTTAGCAATACCTTCTTGGATGTCAAGACATAATTGAAGTTGGACTTTAATAATAATATTTCTAATTTAAGAATTACATGGTCTCCATTGGTGATTTCACTCAATGTTTTAGAAGAGCACATAGAAGGATTGCCAGCAAAAGAAAATTATCCACCTTATTTTTGTAAGTCAGTGGGAAATTAAAAATCTTTTAACTCATAAAGTGACCAAATTAAATTAAATTTCATTCTAAAATCAGTTTGTTCAAATCTAAGACAACAAGCTACTTTCTGTGTGGAGACAGAATCAAGATTTTGGGGTATGATGAAAAGTCATCCAGTGAATAATAGTTCATAAGCTTGGAGCTTAAAGTGACTCATCTATGGATAAATATAGGTGATGTTATTGTTACCAGGTATCAGGGTGACGTGTGTCTTTCAGAGCCAGGTTTTTGTTGTCCTGAGTAAAGAATTGGTCAAGATACAGGGAAAAGGTAACAAGGTTTTACATTTATTAAAGATAAGAAAAGAAATATGCTTTGAAGAGTGAGTGTGGCTAATTAAATTAGGGAAAGAAGTACATTCTGCTTCATGAGAGCAGGCCACTGAGAAAGACCTCATAGTGTCATGAGGTTAATGGCTGCCATATTTTGTACCCTCCATTCTAACATCAGATTAATTCATCCCATCTAGAGCCTGCTTGATCCCTTGCCAGAAAAGTTGAAGATAGCATTTTCTGACTGGTACCACATGCAGGACTTTGGCACATGTGATCTGGATCCTGCAATTAGCAGATCATGTCCACTTGACCAACTGGCTGGCCACATTCTAATCTCCTGCCTCATTAATCTTCTGTGAAGTCTCATGTGTTCAGAGGTGTGTCTTATGGAAAGTGATTGGATCTTGGAGGCACTATATTCATCAATAGATTAACCCACTGATAAATTCATAGCTGAATTTGATATTAAGAGGTAGGGCCTGGTTGGAGGGTATATGTTTCTGATTCTTCCTGTCTTTCTCCTTCTTGGATACCATGGCTTGAGCAGCTTTCTTTCACCACACCCTTCTGTCATGCCATTTCTGCTTTGCAGCTAGCTGATCATAGACTGAACCCTCTGAAACCATGGTCTAAATAATCCTTTCCTTCTTTGATTTGTGGGTATAAGGTACTTTGTTCAAGTGATGGCAAGATGACTAACATAGGTGGCATGCTCTTTGTTCAATTATTTAATCATTGTATGCGTTTGTGTCCCTTAGTATATCCTAGGCTCTTGAAGACAAGGACAATGCAATACTAATTACTGCAATATCCTGAAGAAGTATTCTGGGGGCATTTACTATTTATCAGGTGCTGTGTTAATTCCTCCACATGTACGACCTCATTCATTTCTTAAAACTATCCAAGGAGGCAGGTAATACTTTCAGTTTTATGGATAAAATAAATGAAATTTAGAAAGGTTAAATAACTTGACAAAATCATTCAGTTATCAAGAGGCAGAATCAGAATTGGAATCTAGGGCCCTATTTTCAAAGTTCATTGTCTCAATTCCTAAACTTTATTGCTTCTCCTCCTACTTATTATTCTCTAGTAATTAGCATATTGCATTGTGTATATTGTGTGCTTAATATTTATTGAACCAAAGTCATTAATACAGTATGTACCTATTGGTCTCCTAGTATGTTCATACTAAGTGTTGAATTAGCTAACTACCTAACTACAAGAGGTTTTTTTTGGTACCAAGAATCAAACTCAGGGCCTCATGCTTGCCAGGCAGGCACTGTGCCACTGAGCTACATCGCTGGCTCCTAAGCTACATCTCCAACTCCAGAAAAGCCTTTTAAAATTTTAACATAGAACTATTAGTACCGAACTTACACCCCTTATCTAATATGCTGGTACAAGAAAGTAAGCAAGCCTATTCTAAGAGAATTTGATAAATCTGTAGAGAAATAAAAAAATATTCATTGCAATTTTGCTCCAGCACTTTGAAATTACCATACTAATTGTGAATTTCTCTATTAAATATTTTCTCATTGTTTTTAAAATAAGCTAATTTCCATTGTACCATCATTTGTACTCTTCAAGACACAGATATAGTTTTGAATTATTCAAAGGGAATAATAGCGATGATATTCATCCGAGAATGCTGTCAACAAACATATCCTATTTTTACACTAGATGGCTATAAGGATGGAATATTTTCAGGATCTTCAATATGACTTTGTGACAAATGATCCTTTATTATCCTATTTAATTAGAGATGAATTGGATAATTTTTCTATTTCTGTTTAAATTTTTTAATAAGAGAAGAAATTTCATGAGTGATTTTTTGGGCTTTGTTGAATTACTTGGAAATGTTGTTCTAAAGGAAGTAGAAGCTAAAACTATGTGGTAATCTTTTTATTTTCTCAAAAAATATACAAATTAGAGAGGACCCTTAGCTTTGCAAGGCAAATTCTAGTGATTCTTCTGAGAGAGGAATCCCAGTGGGTACTTTTAAAATGCAGAGAGAAGAGATAGAGAGCAGCTGGTTCTGTGATTAGGGCAAAAGGTTGACACCATGAAGAGTGGCAGGAGCCTCTGTGATAAGGTGAAGACCAGGAAAACTTCCTTGTGGATAATGTTTGAGCTCAGACTTGAAGGATGAGAATGAGTTCAGTGTGCAAAGGGCTAGGGAAATGTCTTCTAGGAAGAAAGAGCAGGCAACAAAAGGGCTTGAAAGAAGGACAGATTGGCATGCAAGAGGCTGATGTGAGCCATGTCAGTTCATAGTGTAATCGTGGAGACAGAGGCAGAAGAAAGACCAAAAAGACCACATTATGAAAGAAGTTCACACTTTTTCTAAATGCACTGGGGAGCCACTGGGAAGTCATTTAAGAATGGGAACTAAGAAGGTGATTGACTGAATGTGCATTTTTTTTTGCTTGATGAGAATTTTAAAATAATTATTTTGCTATATGTAAATGCAGAGTTAGAAAGGGCCAAGGAAGAAGAGGGCAAGCTGGTCAGCTCTACTACTACTGTTGTAGTAGTTCAGGTGGCAGAGGTGTATTTGGAATTAAGACCCATAGGAAATGCCAGTGGATTGAGTATTTATGTCTTGAGAACATGAATGGATAGTAGGACCTATAACTGAGACGGAGAAGACTAGAAGAGAGGCAGGAATAAGGAAAAAAGGTCCATAGCTCCGTTGTGAACATACTAAGTTTGAGACACTTTTCAGATATGTTTGAGAATCTGGGGATTTATGTGGTTTGGGAGTTATATTCAAGACAGATGATGTAGAATATGTATTCTCAGTATCTGTCAGGTTACCCACCAGCGGGCTAGGTTAAAATGGAAACTCTTTGCATGTGTTTGAAGTTTAGATACCCAATTAATAGTGTTGTTTCCTTGAGGTAGAAGTCTATGGAATTTGTAGATTTGTAGTGTTGGAAAAAAGTGTGAGCCCAATTTAAACTTCGTGATGGTTAACTGACTAATTGTCAATTTGAGTGGGAAATGCCCAGCTGAGTTGAGTCAGCATGGTTCTGGGTGTGGAAGAGGCTTGTGGGAGTGGTATAAAAGGAGAATGAAAGGGAAGAATTTCAAATTGATCCTCCTCAGACCAGGCTCATTGTGGCTACTTTTCTTCAAAAGAGTTTCGGTGGTTTTAAAGGAGCTTTGGCTGCTTTCTTTCTTTGGGGGTGCTTCAGTCCTCATGTTCATCTTGGACATTGTCTCCTGGCCTCTGATTCAGATCCCTCAGCTTTCTGGCTCAGACATTTCAGCCTTTTGCCACGAATACTTCAGCTTCCAGCCCTGGCACTCTTCTACACCTGACTCTAGTAAGCACTGACTAATAAAGACTTGTATTTTTAAGACTTTTGAAAGTTGATGAGTGCAGAGCCTGAAAGAAGGAAGTGTGGGGAGCTGCTCAAATTGCTTCAAAGCTCAAGGGTGTCTAAGGACACCTGAGGATGTGACCCCACTGTTTAGCTCAGATGCACAGTGGAATACAGCTATGTAATAATGACTTAGTACAGGTTAAATACACATGCACTGTAAGAATATAAATATGACACAACAACCTGTATAAGAATTAGACAATAAAGATGAAGGTGGCTCTTGCTCTTGTGTTCTGCTTCACTCCATGCTGCCTGCTACTGTCACTGATGTCTTGCACAATGCTCTTTAACCTGGGGACCTCACCTGCAAAAATCTTCCTTGGGTCCCCCAAGCAGGCTGACAGAAAAACAAAACAAAACAAAACACAAAAAACAGATCAAAGATTGAAAAAGATGTTGTAAGCTTGGGTAAATTTTATGTTTTATTTTATTTTGTTTTTTGTCTTATTGAGACAGGGTGTCACTATGCATTTCAGGCTGGCTTTGAGCTCACTTTGTAGCCCAGGCTGGTCTCGAATTTGCAACGATTCTTCTGTCTCAGCCTCCCAAGAGCTGGGATTACAGGTGTGATCCACCACACCCAGCTAAGGGTGATTTTTATTGTATCTTAAAGTTTTTTTAAAGAGTACCACTTATATTAATTTCTTCATCTCCTTTCTACCTATCTTATTTGTTTTGGTCCTACCTCAAGACCATTGCTGAAGGAAGCAGCATGAGCTAGCACTGCCGATTCTGCCAAGTAAAACTGGAATGCTTTTGCATGTGTGTTTATGATATCAAAATATACAATGTCATATGAATTATATTCTTCATGTTTTATTTTTGCAAGAAGTAATTTTTGTAGTGCTGAAGATGCTCATGCAAAGCAGGTAAGTGCTATACCACTGAGTTATACCTCTTGCCTAAGAAAGAAATTTGAATCTTCACTTTATCAATATGCTCAAGGAATGTGATGTGTTTACTTAAGTATTCACATTAATTGGAAGTTACATACTTTTCTTTTTTATTTCACTCAAGAAAATATAGATAAGTATTTCCCCTTACAACTGTGATAATAAAAGTAAGCTTTCATTGTGTCTTAAAAATGACATGTAAACTCTAATGTTCAAGTATATCTTTTCCTTGTTATTAAAATATGAGACCAAAGAACCAATAATTATATATTCATGTTAAAGAGCTTTCCTTTCCTTTTATTTCTATCTTATCAGTCCTAGGAGTTTCATGGATTAAAGAATTGTTTAATTGTTTGATTTTTAAACACCATCTGGTGGAATACAACAGACAGAGAAGTAAATTTGCTAAGAGATGATATTTTTCTTATTGAAAAATAAGAGGGGACCTATGGCAGGTGGCATGAAGAGGATTCTATTCCAAAATTTACTGTTCACAAAGCACCCAGGCCTTCTCTCCATTAGGAATAAGGTAATCATAGGCCACAGAATAGAAAACATAGAAGACCCAAGTAGAGTAGTTTCCACAGTACTGCACTGAATAGATGGCTGCTGACTTGAGCTGCTGAAGCAAAATTGACCCATTCAATTTTTACTGGAGTAGACTCTTATTTCATGAGAATCAATGAAGCACACTTCTCAGCTTATCTAGCTTTCATTCTATACCTGGGAGAAAGAGTCAGAGGTTAAAAGAAACGGTTCCACAAATTCACACAGAAGGTTCAAGTTCTACTTTAAAAATATCAGTTTCAATGTCTGTGTGTTTTTTTTTAAACAAAACCCTTGGGACTAAATGAAAATTTAAAGACTTTTACTTATTTTTCATTAAGCATTAATTTTACAATGCTTTATCAGGATGTACTTCCAAGAACTGCGGTGGGCTGAAGCAAACAATATTTTGTAGGATATCATAGAAATCATTCTAGATTGTTTTAGAAGACAAAGTAGCTCTTGAATATTTGTAGATGGAGGCAGGGTGGGGGAATCATGGGAGATAAGATAACGAAAGCTGGAATTCCAGAGGGGCTGCTTGAGTATTATCGATTTCAGATCAAGTACTTTCCTTGGTCAGTCCAATTCAACATTTAATAAGTTTTTTTAACCTGCCACCTTCATGGAAAAGTTACTTTCTTTTTACATGTATAATTCAAAAAGCTTTGATGTACTTATAGTTGTAATGCATCTGTTAGTTCTAAAAGCAGTCTTGTACTTTTAGCATATAATTATTAAAACACTTCTATAGCCACCAAGAGCCTGATTATGTTGAAAATGCGGGGTGGCATAAACCTAGGAAGTTATATTTCTGACCTTTATCTTGCCTCAGTAAAATGCATAGCATATTTCAAAATTTATGAAAATAGAATGGTGTATAAAATATTCAGTTATACTCACTTAAAACCTTTTCATTGATTATTTGTCAGGTGTAAGAAAAACTGCCCGGCACAATGGATGTGGGAGCAAAAGATGAGTGATAAATAGTCTCTTTCCTTACAAAGAGGTTGAGCTTCTCAATCCAGTCAAGTTCTGCAAACTGTCGTCTAGAGAACCTTCACCTTGGACCTGGCGGTTAATCTACTGACTGTTCTGAAACGTTTAGCGAAGAATGCCTAGCCAATTCTCTAATGGTGTGAGGTAGTAAAACCATATTTTATTGCCTATTTCCTGGCATGTTGCATGTGTCTAACAAATGTGTTGAATGAATACTGCAGAAATTAAGTGACTTTCAGTGGCTTCTAACTTGTCCTAGGTAGTTGTACATGATGGTAAAAATAGGCTTTCTTTTTTTTTTTTTTTTTTTTTTTTTTTGTCTTTTTCCTTTTTGTCGGTACCGGGGATCGAACTCATGACTGCCTGCTTGCAAGGCAGGTGCTTATGCCACTGAGCTAAACCCCCAGCCTCCTGAAAAATAGGCTTTCTATAGCCTCTTTAAATGGTAGAAAAATGTTTTCATTATTTTAGAATATATTTTTTACAGTGCTATGGTTTGAATGTATTCAAAATTCATGCATCAGAAACTGAATCCACAATGCAACAGTGCTGGGAGGTAGGGCCTCTGGAAGAAGTTTAGGTCATGGAAGCTCCATCCTCACAAATTAGTTAAGGTTTATTAAAAAGAAAAAAGGGTTCATGGGAGTGGGAGGTGCTCTAGAATTCTTCGCCTTCCGCCATGGGCAGACCCAGCAGTAAAGGTCTCAGCAGAGGCTATTGCTTTCATATTTGTCTTTCCGGCTCCAGAGCTGTACGGAAAATAACTGTTCTTCACAAATTATTCAGTCTCGGATATTCTGTTACAGAAGCACAGAACAGACAAAGACAGACTGCAATGCTTTTTCTGACACTACAGAGTTGTCATCCATATGATCCTGGTGCTCATCCCCTTAGAATCTTTCCAGGGGCCTGAAATATACAGAAAGATCTAGGTGATTCTGAAACAGCTGCCCATGGGTCCTGTTTTAAGAAACTGTTACTGAACACACATTGAGCTATAGAATTTTGTTGAAGTCTTTGCAAATAAAACTCTTGAAATTAAGAATACATATAATGGATTTGAGAATAATTTTGAAAATAAGATTTCAAAACTCGAGTCACATATGCAAAGTGGCTTGGGTCCTCAGGAGCTCTGATAAACAGAGCTACTACATTATCTCAGATGAGGCAAGGTAACCAATTAATAAAGGCTGGAATCAACATGCCAGGTGCAATCCTTATTTAGTAATCACTGAGTTAATCTATGATTTACAGTTGTTAGATCAATGAAGATAAAGAGCATCTTTAAATGTTTGGGCAAGTGTGTCTGAAAATAGGCTAAAACAGGAGCAGTATAATTAAATATACTTTTTGATTCAAGGAGGTTTTCCTTTGTATTAGGGATCAAACTCATCACCTCGCGTTTGCCAAGCAGGCGCTTATGCCACTGAGCTAAATCCCTGGCCCTCAAGGAGTTTTTCAACAGACAAATTTTACTGAATTGCTATAATCCTCATGGTCCTGAAAACATCAAGTTATTTCATGACTCAAAAGCAAACTTGAAGCTCCTCAACTTGTGACTATGTTGTATACCTGCATTTGTAAGTGCATGCTATTGATAGGGTTAACACTTGGTGAATAATAAATCTGTTAAATACTGGGAAAACCTCATCCACTGGTGATTTACATTTGTGCTTACTGAATTTTCTGCATTGATAGGAAGCTGTTTTATTTGACGCAGTGCATACACAGTGAGGGCAGCTGTTCAGCACACTCTGAAACAACAGGCAAGATTGGTGTGAAGAGTTACTCTTTGTTCTAGAATCTTCTAGATTAAAAAAAGCTTTTGGTTTGACTGTTTTACAGTGGTAGGAAATGAAATCAGTACTGTGAGACAAACTATGTAAGGGCAGAATCTAAGGCATTATTCAGGAACAGCTGTTTAAAAAAGAAGACAGTAGCAAGCTGAATCACACCTCCAGGAAGTTGAGAGGCAAAAGGTGGTGGGGTGATGCCTTTAATTTGCCTTAAATTCAGGATAGTATAGATGATTAATTATTTATAATGAATAAGGAAGATATTTGAGGAGAAATCAGATATTTCACACTTGGATGTTCACATTACATATAAGTCCTCTTATTTTGAGTGATCTGAGCAGACACACTGAAAAAAAAACCAATTAAAGTCAAGAATCATAAAACATACTATCATGGTCACAACATTCACTATCGATTTTCTGGAGGCAAAAGGCCTCTCTGTCAGTAGAGGAGTGACTGGAATTCTATGTGTTTTCCCTGGATGTTAGGGGTTGCATTATGGTGGGTGGTAAAGTGTCATTTTCTTGGTTTTTGCTAGCTTATTTGTTTTGCTCTGTTTTTCAAGCCTTAAAAATTAAATCTCAGAGTTGTAAAAACAAGGAGACTATTTATAGCCCACATTTTAAATTGACTGAAGAGGCCATGACTGGGGCCAGCCACCTGCTAGCAGGACTGAGAAAAAGGAAGAGCCAGACAGAACCAATTTTTATTCACTCCTCATCTGCCCCACTCCAAGCAAGTGGAAGCCTGGGAAGAGAGGGGTAAGCTTTTGCGAAAAAGTAGGTTCAAAACAAGAAACCATGTGGTTAGAATATGGCTTGTTTCTTCCAAAACACATGTTGAAATTTGCATACCACTGTGGCAGCATAGGAAAACAGAGCCTTGAAGAGGTGATTGGTTTTAAGAAGGCCCAATACTTTCCTTGTAGGAAGAGACTTATTCTTATGGGGAAGGATTATTATAAAGTGGGGCCACTTCTTGTGTTTTCTTTCTTCCACATGTGTTCTCTTGCCCTTCCACCTTTCTACCAAGTTATGATGCAGCATGAAGCTCTCATCAGATGCAGCCACCTAATCTTAGACTTGCAGTCTCTTGAACTATAGGCTGAATATATGCCTTTCTTTTAGAAAGTAGCCAGCCTTGGATATTTTGGAACAACAAAAATATAATGGTTGCCAAGAACTGGGATAACTGAAAATGTGGAAGTGGCTTTGGAACTGTGTGATGGGTAATATCTGGAACATCTTTGAAATGAATTCTAGAAAACTCCAGAATACCCTAAACAGAGCATTCTGGGTGATTTGGATGAAGATTCAGCAGACAAAAAAACTAGGCAAAGTCTAGAACCTCTTGGGCATTCCTTAAGTGGTCATCATCAGAACGTTAATGGAAATATGGACAATGGATTCTATGCAAATGAGTTATCAGCTGGAAAGGATCCATCTTATTGGAAACTGGAATAAAAGGCCATACTTACTACACAGTTTCAAGAAACTTGGCTTTATTGTGTCAATGCCCCAGGGATTTGTGGAAGACTGAACTTAAGAGTGATGAACTTGCAACTAGAAGAGCTAGTGGAAGAGATAACTAAGCAGCAAAGAACTTGAGAAGCCGCATGGCTACTTTTAACAGCTTACACTAAAATAAGATAGCAAAGGGATGACCTAAAGGCAGAATTTATAATTAACAAGGAAGCAGAGGATAAAAATTTGGAAAACTGCCGGCTTGGTGATGTAAAGAATGAAAATGTGTGCAAGAGTTCGGCCAAGCAACTGTTTGCTAAAGAGGCAAGCATGGATAGAAAGGATCCAGGTACCATTCATCAGGCCAATGGAAAAAAGGCCCTGAAGGGGATTTCTGCATCCATCTCTTATTTGCAGGTTTTAAGTGTTTACTTACACCTATAATTAAAAACAACCAAGGTGAGAAACACATCTTGCTGGATAGACAAAGAATGCTACTTTCCCCTCTCCTTATACCAAAGGAATAACTGGGGAGAAAGGCAGGGGAATAAGAGAATTACAAGAGAATAAGGCAGAGAGTTTTAAAATGAGTGAAAGAGTGACTGAGGCTCTAACAAGACCCCCTTAAAAATTGAAACGAAATGGTTCCAAGGAATAAAAATGATTATAAAGGTTTGCCATGAAAATAAAATTCCTGAAGGGGTTACTGGAGCACACCTGGTGGTAGTTATTACAAAATGAAAACTATTTCAAATTTATACTAAATGAGTTGAAATTTTCACTTAAAAACCATAGTTGAATAATCCATTTCCACAATGAATAGTCTGTAATTTCCACTCAGTATATGTGTGTGTGTGTGTGTGTGTGTGTGTGTGTGTGTGTGTGTGTGTTTCTTAAGTGGGAAGTTAGACTCCAGGGAAGCAATCTCAATAAAGTACTCTCTGAGATTGTTTTGCTCCACCCACTCCATCTTTTACTTCTTTTCTACCCATGTCTAATTCAGCAGCAATTTTAAGGCAATTTGCATTTATTGAGTCTTTCCAAGGGTATTCGAGTCTTCATAGCAACAATGTTCTTCTTTTTGCACTAACTCCATTAGTTTATATAATATTTAGGTAAATCAAAAAATAGAAAAGCAAGTAAAAATGGTATAAACATGTTTGGGAGCTAATGGGACTGACAACTGAGAGGTATACAACCTGGATGGGGCCCACCAAATTGAGGAAATTATCAGAGATGCCTCTTATCTTATTCCCCTCTAATGTCTGTCTTTCTGCTGACAGGACATACAGCTCATAGCTAATAGGCTGCTCATGTATGTTTGATGCCTGGGAGAGAAAACATTTTAAACCTCACTGGGTCATCTGTTGTTTCCTTGGGCGAATGTAAACGATTTTCTTTAAATCATTAAGGATCTGTGCAATCTCTGCCTGAGAAGAATGCTTACTTGATGTGAAATTACACATTACTAATGATCTTTAAGATAAAAATGAAAAAAAAATCTTGAATGCAAGCAGGAGGAAACAACACTATCCATCTTCAAGTAGCAGAAAAGAACATCAATCATCTCCAAAGATATTTAAATACCACCCACCTCTGCTTTTAACTGCATTTTTAATACATTTCAAGCCTCAATTTAATCAACTCTATGCGATAATATGTTAATGTCCTTTTTTTCCTGCATAGATTCTTCTAGTAAGGAAAGCTGATATTAAGGGACCACATTCACATGCACACCTATTATTCTTCTTAGTCCTTATCTAAGAATTTTCTCATTAAAACCATTGTCTTAATTTTATCTACAATAGCTGTTTATTGTCCCTAGGGATCTATTTTTATTCCAGGTTCCATTCTTCTGCACTAATACAGATCTAAACTCAGCCAGGTCAAAGGTTCCTCTGAAAGTACATTTTCCCTAAAAGCAAAGTATCTTCATATTACCAAAGGGTGGAAAATGTGAAAAACCTGCTCCTGGAGATACCGTCCTGGCATTTTCTAAGGCAGCAGGGCTATTACTTGTGGTTCTGTGTTTCAGACATCGGAATTTTCTTACTCTATTCTCATTGCGTGTGGCACCAGCTGCCAGTACTCACTAAGAATCCACTTCCTGTGGACATCGGGAACCAACTTATTGGCAGGGTGGGCTAATTTAGACCCACCAAGCACCAGACTCATGCCCTTGTCTTCTGCCTTTCTTCTCATAAAGCAAGGACTCTTTTCAAGTCTCTGCAGGAAGTCTCATTTCTCAGAAATCTTCAGTTCTTATTCATGATGTTCTCAAATACTTGAGAGTGTACACTTTTGAAATTCAAAAGCTGAGATGAAATTTGCAGAACTTTGAGTCTGTCCCATGCCACACATTCTTCTCTGAGAATGAACAGAGACCAACAACTACGAATGAAGGCAGAAAGGATAAATCAATGTCTCAATAAAACTGTCACCAAAACTCTCCCACATGTCTTATCTGCAAATTCAGCACAGTGATTCTGTTTCCTTCTCCTGTTTCTGGTCTTAGACCTGCCTGCAGTTTTGGTCCTGTAGTGGCAAGTGCTTTCATAGGTTAAGTTCTACCATTCCCTGCCCTAAACGAGGTGGTAGAATATTAATATAAATGTTGTCCAGGGATGATTTATCTGCCCCCAAAATTGCTTCTTGAAGTACCATTCAATTTTTCTTCAAGTTGTTTCTGTTTCGACAGTAGCACTTACTCAACCATGCAAACTCCAGGCTTTTCATTATGTATCTCATTTTACCCAATCGAACTTCTGATGCTGTCTCAATTGAAATCCTTATATCACCAATCTGCCTCAATCTTTGTGATAGGCAGCATAATGCTCCCCCATGTGTATATTCTTGATTTTCAGAAACTTAGAATGTAGTATGCTAGTGGAATTTAAATTCTCTTAAAGTAGAGAGATTGTCCAAGCTGGGCCATTGTAACCACAAGGGTCTTTAAAAATGTAAAGGGGAAGGTACAAAAGAGAGTGATGAGATGTGACCTTTTAAAATGGAACAAGGGACAATAAACCAAAGAATGTATTGCAGAAGGTAAAAAAACAAAACAAAACAAAACAAAAACAAAAAACACAAAGAAACAGCGTTTTCCCAAGTTTCCAGAAAGGGATACATCGTTGTTTTCATATTGGCTTCAGTCCACTGACAGCAATTTCAGACTTTTGACTTCTAGAATTGTTAAGATTATAAATTTGTGTTGTTTTTATTCACTAAGTGGGGATTTGTTATAGCAAAAATAGGAAACAAATAGAATATCCCTCATGGAATCCACACATCGTCTTCAAAGTTGTGGAAGTGAGAGTTTGGTTCCTGCCAGAGCTCTGACCCAAATATGGTTTTGTCAGGTACCTCCTTTCTGTCT